GCAGGAATATTTGAATCTCCTTCCCCTGCTCTTTTAATTTCTGGATGGTTTCAATTAACCGTATTTGTTAGTGTGACTGAAATTGAAGTTTCTCTCTGCTGACATACAATACACTGAAAATCACTTACGCATTTTGTACTGTTTTGGAACAGTTCATAGAAGTCATCAATGAAAATAAATCTGATTAAATAATGTACAGGAAGAAATGTCAGGCTGTTTGTGCAGATCACTTGTTATAATGGTTATTATAAGAAAAACTTGGAAAATAGTAAAATGGTTAAGAGTTCTCGGTGTTAGTTGTACCATACAAGAATCTTTTTCCACAAAGATACGTGAATCACAGTAAGACTAGCTCTAGTAATGTGAACAGCAAACTGTTAATGCATTTCCAGCTCCATTTGTATCTACAAGAGATACTGAACATCAGCTGGCTGTCATGAAGCCTCCTAGAAGTTACATGACAGCAATGCTTCAGAAATGACCATCCAGTGGCAGACAACAACCTGAGTAGTCATTTAGATTTTAACTTTCCTCTACCACCCTGTATCTTTGAAATAGAGCTGTCAGAGAATGTTCATATTCTTATCCATTATTTGAACTGATGCCTTGAGTCCTGTGTTAGGTTTATGGGAACAGAGTTGAGAACCCCCTCTAAGAACAGTTAAACTCGTACATGCTAAAACACACTAAAACCAGATCTAAGTTTACAAAGGCTACACTCATCCATCCATGAAGTAAATACTTCTCAACTCTGTGACATCAAATTATAAGTAAAACTGTTAATAAAAATTGGAAATTAAAATTTCATTTGACAAGCACTCTAAAATTAATTTGAACCATTTAAAAATTGAATAATTGGAATCATTGGATCCATTGACAATTGATTTAAAGATCCTTTGTATCCACTGGATCTGAACCATTTAAAAATAAATTCTAATAAGTATTTGAGAGTACCTATTGGCCTCCTGTGAGCAGAAAACACCCTGAAATTCTCATAGAAAGGAGTAATGATGCCTCTAAGACCATTCTGGGCAAGTAGTGAATGTGCAAACTCAGCCTCTCGGAGAAGCATCTTGACTTCTGAGGTTCAGCTCCCTTCTTCAGCCAATGTGAGTGGTGAACACCCTGCACCATGCTGTGCTGCCTGCCTCCATGACAATCCCAGTCAATCTCTGAGCAGTCTCTGCCCCAGGGGAGAAATATGCAGCACATATCCTTAGCCAAAGTCCAGGAGCCTGCACGCCAGAAAAACAATGTCCTCTGCAGTCTGAGGCATAATCTTGTCCCACGTAGTTCACATTTAAGTATTCATTCAGATCTAGTATCCCTCCTGTTAAACTGAAGAGCTGCTGCTGCATGCCTTCCTGTACAGATACAGACACTGTAATTAATTCAGTGGCTTAGCGCTATCTTGGTATATAAAGTGTGTGTTTGAAGAAGTGTGGTGTCTAAATTACAAATTACAGTTTTAGGTTGAAGATCTAAATGCTGTGATGAAAGGTGTAAATTAAATAATCAGGTTAACGTTGAGTGATGGGACCTTTGTCTGGAAGTTTGAAATAGTCATCACTTTTTTCATTAACAACAAGTGATAATTAACGAGACATGGTTATTAACATTAGGTTTAGTCATGAAGGCTTTCACTGCTGATGCAGAAGCAGATGGAGTGCCTATTTATGAGTCTTATTACGGGTTAAGTCAACTGCTATGAATTTGTCTCCCAAATGTGCTAAGGGTGTAATTTATTTTCAGCCACAATTAACTTGTTAAAGATTAAAGATACAGTGGCTCAGTGAGGGATAGTGAATGTATGGCACATTATGAAGACATTTTAAGTACTGCTTAGATGTGAAAGCCATTATACTAATTAAATTCTCTTTAGCTCAGTCTTTTCTCAAGCAAGGAAGTGACAAAACTCTGTAATGTTAGTCCATAAACTTTATCTATGATCATATTTCATAAAGCAGTAGGCATTAGAGGGAGGACATTTTTGGGGTTTAGAGCTTAAGCGTCAAGCTGGTTGCCATGGTTGGTTGGTTGGTGCTGTTTTTAATAAACACAGTACATCAGCATTCTCTGTGCCAATCAGGCAAGGCCACACTTTCCAAAAGTGTTTAGTGATTTGAAGTACTTTGATACTCACCTACCTCTCACAGACATTTCACACACAGTCCTGAGATTGACTCTTGTGTGCTGTGCTAGCACTGAGACAACTTCTCTCATCTCATCAGCCACTAACTCTTTGGGGTGCTAATGTTAGAACCTCTTTAAAAAATTAGAAATATGTTCTCAGGCACATGTGTCTGCATCCAAAATTCTCATAAGTAAAACTAAGTACATAATGGACAGTCTTCCTGCAAACATGTCATGCAAAGGCAAAGCTCCTCTATGAACATCACACATATGCTTTTTGAGGATTCTAGCTGGACTCCAAATTTAATTGCCATGTGAATCACCAGAACTAATTTACATGCCACAATTTTCCGTTTGATGTAGTTATACACTTTTTCTTGTGTTTTAGGAGAATCTGCATTGTACACAGACAGAAAATTCCCAACACATTTTCAGAGTACGGGCTTGTTTCCCAGAGGCTTAATTCAAATAAGCTTATGAAAGTCTTTATGATCTACAGTAGTGGTTCTGGAAAGAATGTCAACATCTCGAGTTCCTTATTTATTTCTCAAAGTAGTGTCAAAATTTGATTCTAACAATTATATGAGGGGTTTTATCACTGCACTGGTACAGGAACAGTACACAAGAATTTAAAATAAAAGTGATTACACGAAATAGCAAACAAACATATGATAGCTTCAGCTAACAGATTTGAAGAAGCAGAATCTTGTAAATATAAAATGAGATTAATATTTTCCTGATGCATACATTTCTTTTAAAATTTGATGATTAGTGAATAATATTTCAAATAGATTAAGTGACCCAGAGTAAGGATTGTTATTAGCATGTCTAATAATATGGAGATTTTTTAATTAAAGAGGCTTTGCAACGCTTCAGCAGCAGTTGGTTATTTACTCCCTTGAATACCTTGGACTCTAAACAGATGCTATTCTTATTATCTTCACATCTGGATTACTGCACAGATACAAATAGTGTTGTGGGTCATAGTTAATGTTGATTCCATTTCTATTCATACTCCAATGTTTTTGCAACAAAGCTAGGATCTCCTGGAGTTATAAATTCCCCTGTTTCTGTCTGTCAACTCTGAAAAGTCTTCCTTGGTTAAGGTGTCCCTCAGTGTTGCAATTAAATTATGAAAAAAATTGTTTAGCCCCAGTCATCGTAGTTCCAGAGCTGCTGTTCTGTCTGTTATAGGACATGTTGTCTTTAACTGCATTTCTGTGTCTGCAGTAGGATCTGTCGATGAATTACCAGAACTGATCTTGTACACTGCTCCATCCTCAGGCTAGCATAATCACATGAAAGGGAACAGTAATTATGTGTGCAAATTTGGATAAGCAAGGAAGACTATGGCATTTTTTGTACTTGGAGTTGTTGTGCAGCATCTACAGTAGCTCCTGATGCAGAGTTCCTCTTTCAGCTTTCAGTATGTCTGATGTGTGCTCTATCTTCTGCCTCTGGTATGGGTAAAGATGCATGAACTAAGTATTATTCTGAGTTAATATAGTATCCTGAAATTATTTGCATAATTTGGGGGGGTGCTGGGGGAATATTTACATTATAGCAGTAATATTTGACACTCCGTGAAAACTGCTTTTCAAAAACACAATTTTCTTTCTTACTCAATAATGCCAGAATTCCAAAAGGTCTCAGGTAATGTTTTATTTTTTGCAATATTTACTTATGTTTCTTCTCCTCTAGGAAATGTTTCCAGACTGCTCACTTTTATTTAGAAGATAACACATCCCCTCGAGTGATTTCTGCTCCCCCTGCTCCAATCTTCCCAGTCTCAGGTATTTTTTGTTAACTGTTCTGTGGATCAGTGTTAGCTGTTAGAAGATGCAGTTTTGTATGTGACCATAGGTTAATTCTTCATCTACTGGAACATTGTAAACCAGAGATTTGTACCCTCTTGTAAAAATAAACACAGGTGCAGTTGGCATAGGCAGAGAATAGTGTTACTAATTCTCTCCTGTAAGTAACACAGAAGAGAAATAACCTGTTCTTAAAGAGTTGTCTCAAAGCTACGCTGTGCCTTCTAGCTGTAGCCTCACTAGGAATGGCTGTCAGTGTAGCCAGCTGAGCTACACTAAGTAGCTCCAGTTCACTGCCACAAACTAGAGGATTACACCAACAATGTATTCTGCCAGTTTTCTGCCTTTAAATTTAATTTGTCACCTATGCATAGAACATGACTATTCTTTTTTACCAGGAGGACCCATATATACCTCATCTACCTGCGTTTTAGTTGCAATTACAACATTTTCTTTAACTTGCAGATTTTACTACTGGTAAAGTTCTCTGTGAGCCTCTCATAAAAATGATACACAAGTGCAGAATATTGTTAGCATCTTCTGGTTCCATATCCACCACAGTTAGTTGGAGAAACTGTTTCTTTTGTTTCCTTCCTCAAAGAGTATTAGAGGAGCATGTGCAGCCCTCACAGTTTTTTCAGTAGAATGAATAGTACCTTAAATAGATTAATTCTACAGCAGATCCCAAGCCACATTTTCAACCTTGACAAAAGGATATCTTGTTCTACAAGTAAAGCTTTTGCAAACTGTGCTTTTAAACAGGGGGTGGGTTCCCTTGGAATGACTAAGGGAAGCAAAATCAGCCCTTGTGTAGATAACTAGTAAACACATTTAACCACATAAATCCCAAACATTTGACTGCTGTTGTAACTGAATTGTAGGCATCTTTTAATGCCTCTTGTGTTGATTGTCTTTGTTAGGAGATGCATAACCTTTTTCTAAATGGTTAATAGGCAGGGATGTAGCTTGATATCAGAAAATATGTGATGATGCATGAATGTCAAGTGGCAATCGTTATAGGATATCTCTGCTCTTACTCTCTGTCATTAACTATATTGCAGCACAACTGTATAATTTTCTTGCATTTTATTCGCTGACCACCTCACCTCAGGGAGATAGTGTTTTCCATTGGCATAAGACAAAATTGCACTTACAGTTATTCTGAGTGCTAAAAATATGTGGTTTGACGCTGGAGGTTTTCCTTCTGACATACTGATAAGTAGTAACTTAAAGAGAAAGGTGTTTCTAAGTGATAGAATGAAAAATATTTTATGGAAAAAGCTGCAAGCACTGAGGAAATATATTTGTTTTATTTTGCCTGCAGCAGACATCAAGTGAGCAGTTTTTGTGTTTTCTATTGCTCAAGTGTTTCAACAGTGTGATTTTACAACAATTGAGACTAACTGCAATATAATACTGGCAAAGAGCATGGAGCAGGAAGAGCATTTTGTAACTGTTGACTTTAATTTTTTGTTATGACTCTGACTAAAAGCACACTCCACAGATCTCATTATCCATTAAGTTTTCCTTTTCTGGGGTTTCATTTGCAGAGATAGGAGAATTGAAGTTAACGGAAAATGTCCTGGCACTTCACAGCATAATTCACAGGTGTATTAAGAACAAATAATGAATTACGGGGTAATATTAGAACCCGCTATCATCTGTTAAGTAGTTTGAAGTGATACCTGCCATCCAGATATAAAATATATTCCTGGAGTCAGAAGTGATTGAACTGAGAGATTAGCACTGGCAAGGGAAAAAAACAGTAATTACACTAAACCTAAGATCTCTTTCTCCTTATAGTCCTCGCTCTTAGGGTCATTTACCTTCCCTTCTGGTTTTGTGTTTGCATATTATTAGAATAAACACTTTATGCCAGGTGTCATCTCTGAAGTGTGAAGATAGTGTTACACATTTGTTCAGCTTCTTTTAGGCTTCACTGGATAAATTCACTTTTTGTATTCATACCCATTCATGTAAGTGGAAGACCAGATGGATCTCAATACAAATCAACAAATTCTTGGTAACTGAAAACTAAAATTATTAGGTGGCCTAAATGCTGAACATCTGTTGATGTACATAACAGGTCCTTGTTCAATCTTTTTGATGTTTCTTTCTCATATGAAACAGCAATGAAATTACAAATTATGAAATAAACGTATTTTTAATCCATGAAAGACTTTTTTTTAAAAAAAAACAACCACCAGAATTATTCTTCATAACCAAAACTAGCTGAAATAATGTCATCTTTTAACAGGTAATTAACAGAACACATGACTCTGTTTACATAGCATATTTGCAGGAAAGAGAAGATTAAAAGTCCCAAAGGTTTTTGATGTGATCCCTAATGAATGTTCTACACAAGAGTGTTTTTCTGTATTTGTATAAAGTAAAAAGGAGATGTCCTGAAATAGAAACATCAGATGGAAGATTCGGACACGGTATTCGAACCCAGCAGTGGCATGAATCATATTTATTGGTTAAGAATATAGATATTGTCTTTATGGGAATCCAGAAAGTCTTAAACTTAACTTTTTAACTCAAAACTTGAAGTAGAAAGCCTGATGTGAAATTTTGCAGTCAGTACTCCCAGGATCAGACATAGCATTATTATTAATAGATAATCAAAGAATCATGGGGAGAATGGGGGAAAAATTCCTACTGGAAGTCCTCACTAATGCAGTAAAAGATTAAAATTAGTTGTTGTTTGCTTTGGATGCCAATGCAAACATGCAACACATCAGTTAAAATTATGCTACTGACATAATGCTACATTATTTTAGTAGGCTTGGGACTATGCAGCTAGTCCATGTACTGTATCAGAGTCCTGGTGCAACACTAACTAGCCGAAAGCACCAAGATGACTGCCTGATCGTTCTTTCTTTACCAGTATTATTTAGAACTCTGCTCCTGCCTTTCCCTTTGGGCACCTTGTAGCAAACTGCTAATCCTCCCATTTCCCCTTGGCTTCACAGGGAGTTCTGAATGCTCAGTAAACAGCATCTTGCAGAATCAGCACCTTAATTTTGGGGGCTTAGAGACAGAGCAAGACCTAACAAGGCATTTTCTTTATCTTCTTTCTGAGTAGCCATTAAGAAATGTATAAGTGTTAGACAATGATTTTAGAAATGTTAATGGTGTGAAAGAGTGGTTTTATTGTTGTGGGAGTTGTATATCCAAAGTTCATGCCAAAGTTTTTATTTCAGGATGTTGTGTGGATTGCCTACATATAAACTTCTTTATATGTCACTGGCTTTTTATTTTTTCATAAATATATTTTTTGTCTTTTCCCACCCCTAAGATGATGTTGGAGCAATTCCAATAAAGCATTTTCCAAAACATGTTGCAGATTTACATGCAAGTAATGGTTTTTCTGAAGAATTTGAGGTATGGCTCTATGATGTCATCTTTCTTCTTAGCACATACAGATAACATTAAATTTAAACGCCCGGCAATAAAAAACTGGGCATTACATTCTGACCTGGGGACTAATTTCATAAATATGAGTACTGTGAGCCCAGTGAGGACTTTCTTTGTATAACGACTAGGGAGATTTATAAAAGCTGACAGGACTGGGATGTAAATGGGAATGTTTATCCCTGTGATAAAATGCTAAATGATTGTGTGAATAAACTATGCAAAGATAATGCAATCTCTATGGTTTATCAGATACAGTCATAGATCTAAATCTTTTCCAACACCAATGCCAATTGAATTTTGCAGAAGCTGCCCACATTTGCTTGTTCTATTTACAGAGAAAAAAAAATTGAAGTAATAACGAATACTCATGGCAAGACTTCTGATTAACAGGAGAGCTAATGTAGTCTTTATATGTAGTAGGTTTACAGTTCCTTTTCTAAAGTATATGGTTCATAAGAGGTATTTCAAAATTCTGAAACATGCTCTCATCATATAATGTTACTATCACCATATGTAACTAATGAGCTTCATTGTTTTTCACATTCATATGCATTGCAAGCAGTTTAAAGCTAGATAAGTTCTAACTAAGGTCACATAAAAGAAAGATTATAAACCCCTGTAATAAACATTCTAAACTCTGTAATTGAAAATATGTTCTTAGAATTCTTGACAAATCATTTCTAACAAAATCAGTCAGTTGGGATGAAAGCAAGTTTTTAAGTGATTTGTATTAACTTAAACTATGATTGTAAT